TGTGGTTTTTTTTTGTTTGTTTTTTTTAAAGATGAGGACAAACACACAGGACAGTTATAAATAAATCCAAAAAGTTGTGACATTATACTTCCTATTCATCCGAGACCTCCTTAGCTGTTGAAATGTTTCCTGCCAGCAAACTGTCACATTTGTTCCTCGTCGTGAGCAGCCTGCCTTCACTTTGTAACCACTGCAGCATATAAAGACAAAAATTGCTGTCAGATCAGCTTCAGCCCCTTAACTCAGTCATTCTGTGCCAAACTGTTTTGCTCTGAACTTACCACTTACAATCAGCGGCTCAGTTTGAACTGAATTTGCATAAATGTCACCCACACACGCAAAAAAATTACAGGTTTTATTCCTCCAAATGGGGCAGTTAATGTAAGCCTGAGAGATGAATAAAAGGCATGAATGAAATGTACCTGAAACAGCAGCATGCTGGGCAGCTCAGGAAAGAAACGCTTATAGATGTGGTTAATATATCCTGAATAATATTTTGACTAATCTAAATATGAAGACATTTAAAGCCTCTCAAGTGGTCTCATATTTTTCCTCAACAAGTTAATCGGTCTGAGATGAGCACTGCTGTGTCTTTATAGGTGGACAGTCTTCACATTAGCGAGGTCTTACCAGACAGGAAGAGTCTGTACACTGCTAGAACGGTCTGAGAGCCATTTCATTTAACAGCAAGTGAAAATACTCCATGAAGCTAATTTATCCTCTCACCAGCCACTTTATTAGGTATACCTGTTCAACTACTCTTTATTATAAATCACATCAGCCAGTCTTGTGGCATCCATTATGTGCATATAGACATGGTGACGACAATCTACTGAAGTCCAAACGGATCATCAGAATGGGGAAGAAAGGTGATATTAGGGCCTCTGAATGTGGCATGGTTGTTGGTGCCAGTCTGATCTCAGTACCTCAGAAACTGCTGATCTGCTGGGATTTTCCCCACACAACATCTCCAGGATTTACAGAGAATGATCTGAAAAACAGAAAATATCCAGTAAGCGGCGGTGAAAATGCCTTGTTGAGGCCACTCGTCACAGGAGATCGTCCAGACTGCTTCAAGTTAGTAGGAAGGCAACGGGAACTCTAATAACCACGTGATACAAACAAGGTACGCAGAATAGCATCTATGAACGCACGGTATGTCAAACTTTGAAGCAGACCGCTAATAGAAGATTAGAAAAATGTTGTCTGGTGTGCTGAACCTTGATTTCTTCTGTGACATTCAGATGGTAGGATCAGAATTAGGTACACGCATTAAAGCATGGATGCATCCTGCTTTGTATCAATAGCTCAAGCTACTGCAAATCTGAAGCAACTGTGTGATGCTATCATGTCAGGAAAGTTTCCAGCGCCTTACTGAAACTGTGCCATGAAAAAGAAGGGGGTCCAAGCCAGCACCAGCGGGGCACAGTTGATGCTGATGAGTGTACGTTTTGAGGGGAGTAAAAGAAAGCAGATCAATAGGATATTTTCCCAATATATAACTTTATTTAAAATATTGTTACAATTTATTACTCTACACAACATTTTCAAAACTTTTCTCTTTTTCTTACACTGGTTAGTAAACCTTCCTGGATAATTTTAGATATAAAACTCTCCATTTTTCCTTTTTTTTTTAAGCCTCAGGTGTTAATGTCTTTATACACTTAGTAAATGAGACACCGCTTATCTTTTAAACACCTTTTCTCTGTGTGTTTCACAAACGTTCCCCTCCTCGACACACACTCACACACGCGCACACAAACACACACACAAAAAAAAGATCACTGGTGGCTCTAACATTGTACACTATAATTTCCCCAATCTTTATAGTTTCTTTTTTTTTTTAAATAAATAAAAAGTTCTGAGTTGGAGAAACAAGAGTGCATTATTATTATTTTTTTGTCAGAAGAATATTCTTTTACTTTTTAAAACAGCTATTTACAGGTTATGCTGGAGATAGCAACAAGGCTTAGATTTGTAATCGACGTCGGTGTCAGCTTGCAATGGGAAAGCCCCCGTCTCTGTAAGCAATGAAGAGAAATTAATCACATGGAGGCGAGCACTTTTTGAACACCAATTACATCCACCCTTCAGATTAGTCATAGGGAGGACACATCAGCTAAAAACAGACAAGCCTACAGCTAATGTGCTCTGACCCAGATGTGCATTCCAGAGGTCCAAAGACATCAAGTTTACAGAAAAATGCTGCTGACGACACCAACATAACCTCTGGACGAAGTCAAAAAAACAAAAAATAAATCAAAACTTCAAACAGATTAATCGAAACGCTGCAGCGTTCAAACAAACAGGCCTTCATATATTATCTGCCACTGAAAAATGTTATGAAAATCAGCACTGATTTGGCACACAAGACTCAGAAAACTGATGTGTTACTATAGCAACAGTATCATGTAGATGAGCGTTTCAGTGCTGGTTAGTGATGAAGACAAACTTTCTGAGCCCTCGTGTGCAGTCCACGCATGGACATTTTTTATTCTGCCATCACCACGTTTGCATTCACGTCATCTGTTAACCTCTTACAATCCACCCCGGTTGCTGGTGACCTAGTGCTAGGACAACAGGGACAACAGCATAGCCAAATGGGGGGAAAAAAGCAGATTGGGAGAACCGTGAGGACAAAAATGGACGTATGAGGATTAATCTGAATGTTAATGGTTCTGGAAATGTGCTCGTTTAACATGCAGATAAATCGCAACCAGGTCCCCGGTGACCTGCTGGATGTTAAAAGCTTAAGCACTGTGTGAAAATTTTATCTCATCTTCATAATTAAATACTCACTTTGAAGCCCAGGTGAGTCACGGCACCGCAAATACGCTGACAAACAGAAAGTAACACAGATCGACTGTACAAAGACATGCTTCTTAACATTCCCTTCATCTCTTAGCTGTCACCTACGCGCTGCTTTCTATGACATTTAGCTCGCAGAAGAAACGTCTCCAACGGACAACAGCTCACAGGGTACACACACCTGCCTGTGACTGAGCTTAAGATGGCATCTGGTGCAGACAAGACAAACCGAACCAGCGAGAAAAGAAAAGGAAAACAAAAACAAAAAACAACTAAACAAAAAACACAAAAAAACCACAGGGAAAACAGCAGCTTTCTAAAAGCCTATTCACAGCAGCACGAGCCACGGGGACAGAGAACAAACATCAAACAGTAAAAACACACCGCTTTGAATACATTATTGGGAGGACCGAGTCAGTTGGCTGACAGGAATAAAAGGAACAGAGGCTGCACTGAGCGTGTGGAGACAACGTGGTGCTGCCACGGCAACCGCATCTCCTGCGCTGACGGGAGACCAACCTGGAGAGAGTACGAGCAGAGGACAGACAAACCTGCACGCAAGCACACAATCTAGCTTATACCCCCCACCCCAAAATAAATAAATAAAAAAAACCCATCATGGTTGAATAGCTTTGATTCTTATGTCATCCATCTTTAAATTGCCTATTACTCTGCCTGTCAAAATGCCCATCCTGCATTGCAGTTTCCCCCCTCTTATTCCAGCTACTTGTGATGTGTTGCAAAGAACAAACAAACATGATACTACACTGAGGTATGTATTTCTATAAACTCCTGTATAACTGAGGC